AGTCTTTGGCTTTGATTTCGTAGGACAGCCCAACAGGAAGAGGCCATGTTCTCTTTTATTCTCCATATTTCTGAAGGCAAACTTGGACCCATTTGTTTTGATTTACGGACAGAATGATGTTCCTGCCATGAACACAGGCTTCCTTTATGTCCTTTCAGTCTTCAGTCTATCTTTGTGGACCGAGTTTCTCCCCCAAAAAAAAAACACAACTGAACCGCCTCTTGGTAAGAGCAGAGCCATGGCCATGGCCGTGTGCGTCAGCCAGAGAGGCCCTCAGGTTTGGGGGGACGGCAGCACATCTCTTGCATCTCCACCAGCAAGCCCAAACCCACTGACCCGGTGACATTTAAAAAAGATATTCAATAACTCTGAGCATCCAGTCTGTGGCTGGGGAATGGGGAGGGAGGGTGTATTTGATGTAAAAAGCCACATGTTCAGTCACGGGTTCGGTAACACTGGCTCTCTGCAGTTCTCTTTTGATTGAACCATATTGGCCACCCCCTTCACACGTGGAGGCGGATGGGTTCTGATGCCACCAGCCCGGCCAGTGAATGAGCAGCCTGGCGCAGCGCGGCCCGGAGGGGCTCCGGCTCCTGGTCTGTGCCGTGTCGTTCTCACAGTGGGGTCCCCTCTCTCCTCTGAAGAACACGGTTTGTAACTCAGGCATCGTTAGCTTGAAGGTGGGGTGGCACTGATGCCAGGTTCATGGCTTTCCTCAGAGTGATGACAGCCAAAGCAGTGGTTACAGCCTAGACTTCAGAGTAAAAAAAAGAGCAGGCTCTTGCCCTAACCGGTTTGGCTCAGTGGATAGAGCATCCGCCTATGGACTCAAGGGTCCCAGGTTCAATTCCAGTCAAGGGCATGTATAATACTTTGGTTGTGGGCACATCCCCAGTAGGAGGTGTGCAGGAAGCAGCTGATTGATGTTTCTAACTCTCTATCCCTCTCCCTTCCTCTCTGTAGAAAATCAATAAAATATATCTTAAAGGGGGGAAAAAGAGCAGGCTCTTGCGTAGTAGCAGAGACGTTCACAGTCATACCTGGGACCCTTTGAGATTGTAAGTGAACCTGGGAAAGAGGTCCTTGTCTTCCCTCTACCTTCATCTTTGCCCTATAAAAGCTAAGAAAAGACCATTTACATGTTTAGGGATCCTTTAAGAAAAACTAATTCCTTCAGCACAGCTTTAAAGACGTAATTTTACAGATGTGACGATGTGATGATGTGATTAACGAATTCAGTGAGAGACACACAGGCTGCGCTACCAAACAGTGTGGAAAGCAAAAGGTAGACTTTGACCTCGATCACAAAGAAGGTGCTAGGGAAGGGGTCCTACCTCATCATGACGTCAGGTTAAAGACAGGGCCTGCACATGCCTTCCCTCTCTCTCTCTCTCTCTATAGTTTGAGCACATTGCTACGAAATTACTCCCAGAATCTTTTCAAGGGACAATTAACCATATTTTAAGGACTTTAACAACAAATGACTTACATCATGCTTATTTCTGTTTTTCATCACAAAAAAAAAAAAATGAGATACACTGAAACACACATTCTCTCATTTTCTATCACAAGCTAAAACTCAAAAATAAAACAACAGCTACTGGATTAAAGAGAATGGAAAAAAAAATAAAGTTTTGTGTTTTTCAAATTACCTAAATTAAAATGTGTAATACAAACTGGCACTAAGGTGACTCTTCTCCTTGAGCTGCTTAAGACACCTGAGCTCAGGAAAGGCCCGCAGACCCTGCCTCTGGCCCAGCTGAAACGATCCAGCTGATCTGCCAATATCCTGGAGCCCCAAGAAAAATATTTTCCTTGTGTATTTTAAACGAAGCAAAATTCCACTGGAACCTCTTTTATGGGGCCTCTTGAAAAACAAAAGCAACTAGGCAACACTCTAGTCATCAGTGGATGCCACCGTGGCGCTAACTCGGGGCCTTATCCTACCTGTGTAGATTCCCACCAGCATGTGGGGTCTCATTCAGAAAATGCTAATCCTCAGGAAATAGTCGTGATCTGAGACCATGGTTAAATGGTGGCCTTTTAAGAATTCTGTTTGTCAGGCTGGTTTCAGGGAGGAGGGGGGGGGGGGGGTAGAGTAATGGATTAAGTCAAACTTTTCCTCAGCCGAGCGAGGGTGGGCTCCCAGATCTACTCTGTGGCACTCACCAGGGTATGTGAAAGGCCTCAACTAGCTCCTGGCACCCAAGGAACCCCTTGTCAATCCTCTCACAACCACCTCCTCACATCAACACTTACCGGGCCTGCCTCTCTGTCAGGAGGTCCGCGCCTTTGCTAGGTGGCCCTTTGCCTGGGTGATGAAGAAGGCTGTATTGAAGAAGGCTAATAAATGTGTATGTATCTTCTCAGGAGGCACAGATGCACGTAAGCACACCAGGAGTCGTACTGCCTTACCTCACAACGACACCGCCACCCTTCCAGAGCACAGTGGGGATCCCCCCGGGGAGGGAGACATTGTGTGTGTGGGCTTTGCATTTCAAATTTGAGATTTTTTCTTTCTTTGTCTCTAAGTAAGAGAAAGTATTAAAAAGAGGGACTGATCTTTATGTTGATTCTGTACATCCTAATTTGACTATAATTCCTTTTTCACTTTGACCCTTTCTATGCAAAGTATTCTGGGGATACTCATATAATTTTAAATTTGTCTGCTTTGGGTCAAAAATCCAAAATCCCAGCCACCTAAGTGGTCTACCACCTCAGTGTTTTCTTTATGTGCTTCAAAAAATAGACTTCTTAGACTCTCCGCCTTTGTTAAATAACTAGAACCATTCAAAATAATTCCTTGTTCCTGCCTAAACCGGTTTGGCTCAGTGGATAGAGCGTCGGCCTATGGACAGAAAGGTCCCAGGTTCGATTCCAGTCAAGGGCATGTACCTTGGTTGTGGGCACATCTCCAGTGAGGGGTGTGCAGGAGGCAGTTGATGGATGTTTCTAACTATCCCTCTCCTTCCCTCTTTGTGAAAAATCAATAAAATATATTTTAAAAAATAATAATAATTCCTTGTTCCAGTTACACAGCTGACAATTATACACCAATCCCTGATTGGGGGCTATCAACTTTCTCTGTGAAAATAGTGGGCAGAATTTCATAACCCATTATTCCTCTACGAACAGATAACCAGGTTGACAGGATCTGAATAAAGCACAGCTTGTTGCATGCAACAATAGTTTACAGAGAGCTGTGTGACGTAGTTAGTATTTTACTGCTCTCAGCTTCACCACACAGTCTTGTAGCCTGAAAAGCCATGCACACAGAATGGCAGAACATATATCCGCACACAAGAGGCCAGTACAATGCCCCCTGTGGAGCCTGGCCACCAGCAGGTGACAGTCCCGGACTTAAAAGCACCCTACGCTGTGGAATAGTTATGGAACAGAACTTGCTACTACCTGAAGCCCTCATCAAAGCCAGGCTTTCCCAAGCAACTGTTAAGATATATAATTATTTCAGCTTTACAACCATCCATTTAGTGTGTTGTGAGAAAAGGGAGGAATTGGAGAAAGGCATTGACACTTATATGTTTATGAGTATAATAGGTGGAGGTTTGGGTGTGTTTTTTTTATCACTTTCGGGGCCGGGAAGAGTGGCTCAGACATGTCAGCAAAGTGCTTCACCATCCTTAAACACTTAACCACAGCTCTTTTCCAAAGTGACTTCCCTTTACCCATCTACCCCCCCCCCCCCAAAAAAAGTACTTCATGGAACTATTGTATATGAAGCACTTATTAGCCGTAATTAAATGGACAATATGAATTTACTACGTCTTTAGGACTCTGGCTTGTTCTGGTTTAGAGCAAGATGATTAATGCAAATACATATTACTTGAGATAACCATTTAGCAGCTAATTTAGCCAAATTTATTACAGCAGTTAGAGCTTTTTCATTTTAGCAGACAGAGACAAGGACATGCCAAACGCGGGTGATGTGGACGAGTGCACACTGCCCTCTAGTGGCCAGCCAGCTGGCAGGCTGCTGGGGGGGGTGTGGAGTGGCTGCCATGCGTATCCAAGCAATAGCTGAGGATTTGCACGTTTCCAGCATCTTTTTAAACCATTCCGACCCCTAGCACTTTATTTCAGGGATGATTTAATGCATTTCCCCTCCTTTTACTAGCTCAGGAATACCCAGATACAAGTCAAATCAATTTCGACTTGGCAAGATTTTGGTTAAAGTATCATTTTTTAACATCTGCATTTTAAAGCTCTCTTTCCGTGGGTATTTAATGGCACCGTTTCACATTACTGATTGTTTTTACTTGTTCCTTCATTTCGGGCCATATTTCAGCGTCTGTGTGGAGCTGTCACTCTGGCTCCAGCCAAGTCAATTCTGTGCCTCCCTTAGGCCAGCGTTTCTCTCTGACTCGGTTGGGAAATTTATTTTGCTCCAACATTTGTCAAGTCTCACCAGAATTTCCCCTGACTGACCAATGTAAATTTAGCTTCTACATGGGCTGTAAATTCCGTTGCATGAGATCAAAAGGAACAGAGGCACAAGGACGCTGGTTGACACCGCCCGCTCGCACGGAGGTGGGCAGTCAAAGGAGGGGGGAAAGTATCTCCAGAGTGCCTTGAATACCCAGAATCTCAAAGAGGTCTACCTCGAAGCTATGAATAAATCTGTACACATTCGCCTTTGTTGCCATCCGATGGCGAACCCATTGACAATATCCACACTGCATTAGGGATTCTGTGAGCCAAAAAGATTTGTAGTCCTTTTATTCTTCCTTTCACTCCATGGCTGCCCAAAATGGAACAAAGTCTTGCTACACACGCGAGTAACCCTCCCTGGGGAGACGCTGCTCCACTGGATTGTTGATTTTATTTGTTCTGCTAATGGCATTCTGCATTAAGCACACAGGGAGCCACCCTGGCTCAGGGCGCTCCTCCCTTCTTCCTAAGCTGGAGGTTTTGCAGACATGACAGTCACCTCGTCCCAGTCCTAACACGCAGGGCCTTCTGCTTTGTTTTTCCCCCTCCAGTGCTGAATAAGGGCCAGTGTGTGACGAAGTACTACCGTTGGATGCAGAAGAATGGAGGCTATATCTGGATACAGTCTAGTGCCACCATCGCTATCAACGCCAAGAATGCGAATGAGAAGAACATCATCTGGGTGAATTATCTTCTTAGGTAGATTTTCCAATTCTTGTTTGCTTCTGTTTCAGTCACAAAACGGGCATCCCAATGGTTAGTCTCTGGCATGTTGTGTTATCTTTTGACAGTATCAGGTGTGCAATTATGTGGAAATGCTGCTTTTCTTTCCACAAGAGTCAGAGAAATGTGAAAAGATCAAAGCTGTGTTGGAAGGGACTTCCGGGGCAAATTCACAACACTGTCAATAGTTCTTGGTCTGTCAGCATTTGGAAAGCTCTGCAGAAGCTGCTTTGGTTTTCCCACAAATGCTCAGGCCGTAAAAAGAATATAGACGTTTGCCTAAAGCTGATGCCTTCAAAAGCACCCCCTTCTTCACATGTACTTACAGGCACTCACACACTCCAATCCTTGTGAAAATTAAGCAAGAGAGGATAAAATTAAGCAAGGTACATTATAGTTCTCCTGTACCCCATGCCTTTGAATCCCCCAGCGTATTGCATAGGATTGAAGTTTTGATAAGCAAAGTCACTTGCTTTGCTAGAATTAAGATAATCCTATATAATAAAAGGGTGATATGCAAATCAGCCAGACAGCAGAATGACCTGTCACTGACATGCACTGACCACCAGGGGGCAGACGCTCAGTGCAAGAGGATGTCCGACTACCCAGCTTAGCCTCCCCAGGGGGAGTAGGCCTACACTGTCAGTCCCACTGTGAGAGGGTGCAGGCCAGGCATAGCAAACCACCCCCCACGTGCACAAATTTCATGCACTGGGCCTTTAGTGTCAGTATAAAAATGAAGTCAGCCTTCTTTTGCCTAGTCTGTGACCTCAGGCAAGTTTTACCTTTATTAATGTGCCCTCAAATTGACATCCATGAATGTGGCCAGACTCAAAAGCTTCCTAAATTCTAGGATGCAGCACCATTTCTCAGTCCTTCCTCCTTTCTGCCTTTGGATTTAAACTAGCAAAAAACTAGCCAAGACCAAAGCCTGGGTGGTCTGCATTTGGGGGCAAGCTCTGTGGGAGGTTCTCACCAATCCTGCCATGGAGCTATCTGACCGTTCAGCCGGCTCCCTCCCACCGCTGTCAGTCCCGCCTCCGGCTTCCCTTGGCCTGCAGCCACCGAGCAGAGCCCACACATGAGCTGAGCAGGAAAACTTCGGATAGGTCTTATGAATGGAAGTTGTTGCCCTTTGGCTGATTATCTAGACAGGGAGTCCTTGAATCCCATTTTTCTTTGAGACAGCCAAATGGAGCTGAGACGCTGACAACCATGGCTCATCAGCACGCTGGCCCTTCAGAGTGTATTCATGCACGTTGGTGATGACTTGAAGGCATGAATGTGCTTGCTACCAATAGCATATCAATCAGACACTAATGATTATTGCTCTAGAGAGGGTTTTAATGTGCACCACTTAAAAGAGTCTTCATTTATCTACTTTTTTTCCCCTTTTTTGACCTCTTCTACTCTACATCAATTCTCTCTAAAGGTATGTGTATTTAATGTGGATTCCTCCAAGGCCTGAATTTCATGCAATTGTGTATTTATGGCATCAAGAAATCTCTTTATATAAAGGTTATGGAACAGTGGCAATATGTCGAGCAGAAGGTTATAAAAACTCAATGCCAATGAGGAAATAGAGTAAGATTCTATGTCATTGACAGTATTTTGCTTGGGGGTTAAAATGGAGTTGTGCTAAGGAGACCCATTATTATTAAGAACTAGACACAGGTAACAGGGACATCATAGGTAAGACGGCTGTTTCCCACAGTGATGTAACCTAGGGTACTGAAACAATCTATATGGTTGTTGCTCCCATTCAGGGAGATCTCTTCCTATTTGGATCTTCCTGGCCCACCATCATTCTCATGACGTCCTGCTCTGCCTCCAGACAGAGGGCATGAGAAGGGTTAAGGAGAGGTCAGTCCATGCAGCTCTGGGTGCACACTGTTAGTATAGCTGAGAACCACATGGACAAGCTCATGAGTGTTTGGTGATTCTAGTCCATCTAATAACATAGGGAGAGGAATAAATCAGATTGGGCACCAAAGACAAGTCTTCAGGCTCAAGAACCTCAATCTCAGACATGCTAGACCTGTTTCAGCTAACCTCTAAAGACTCGCCTTGAGTTCAATAACTAGAGACCATAAGTGTCAAATAACTTGTGAACCTCCATGCCATCTGGACCAAAGGAGACTAATATAGATGGGCTTTAGCAGGAAAAAACTCTGCCAAGTGCCAAGTCCTTGGTATCACTTCTATAGGCTAGAAATCTAGTAAGAAAAGAACTGGCCTTGGCGAACAGCAACTACTCAAGTTTGTTTTTCTTTCCTACCTTCTTGTCCTTTGTTCTTCCCTGAGCAATGTTGCCATGCTCCTTCTTCCTCCTCAGAATCTCTCCTGGGCTCCATCTAGGCTTGTTTTCTCTGTTCTGAGATGATTACTCCCCAGTCTTCCTCCCATTCCCTCACAATGCTTGGTAGAATTACAGACTCGGAATATTCCGAAACTGCATTAGTGCTAAGGCTTCCTTTCCACCATTAGTCTCATCTGATTACCTAAAGAAAGCACCACTGCTGAAGCTAATTCACACTACGGAGTATCCGTCTGATAATCCATCTTAGTGAATTAACCCTCCCAGAGACGTGAAATTTTAGTTACTGAACCAGTGACTCTTTAATACAGGAATTTCACTAGAAATTAGCAAATGATTTGGTAAACCTCTATGGCAGTGGTTCTCAACCTTTCTAATGCCACGACCCTTTAATACAGCTCCTCATATTGTGGTGAGCCCCCAACCATAAAATTATTTTGGTTGCTACTTCATAACTGTAATTTTGATACTGTTATGAATCGTAATGTAAATATCTGTGTTTTCCAATGGTCTTAGGCGACCTGCAGGTTGAGAACCGCTGCTGTAGAGCCAAAGACCATTGGAAAACACAGATATTTATATTACGATTCATAACAGTAGCAAAATTGCAGTTATGAAGTAGCAACCAAAATAATTTTATGGTTGGGGGTCACCACAACATGAGGACCTGTATTAAAGGGTGGCGACATTAGAAAGATTGAGAACCACTGCTCTTTTGCAAGCCTCTGGTTGGCTAAGCATTATGGAGGGTTAGCAGAGGCATCTTCCTTTTTGAGGCAAGAGACTTTCTTTGTGGCTTCTGGTTATAGTAGCCTGCACTGCTCACGCCTTGGGCCAGCCTTGGAGTGGCATTTTTAGAAGACAGCTAGCTCAAATTGACTGAATAGTCTCACTTTTCCAGAAAAGGCTTATTTCTGAATTTAAAATTGAACAAAAATTCAACATGTTTGTGCAAGTGAGGTTAGCTCCATTCTGCTTAGGGTCTCTTTCACACTGGGACCTCCCCACCGCAATCGAATTTCCAGCTAACAAGTTACAGGTGTACACCACATGCACAGATGAAAATGTGATTGTAATGGGTGTGTTGACAGTTCAGTAGCCGTAATCCACGCATCCCAGGGAGCACCTGTGCATCTGTCAGATCTTAGGCACTCAGGGCTCTGCCCCTCCCCCCCACACACACTGCCTTGGAGCCATCTGAATACCTGAGATGCTCCATCAAGGAGCCAAGACAAAGGTACCGAGGCATGGGCTCATGAGGAGCCCAGGAAAAGACAGGGCACCCCAGGGGCTATGGGAAGGAATTGCTGAGAATGCTTCTCCTCCTCTCTGCCCCCTCCCCCAGGTGTTATACTGTGAGGAATGTCAAGCAGCACAGTTCCTGGCCCCCAGTGGTACCTGATTATGTAAAAGCTTTTTAGTGGCTTTCGTGTAGTATTTGGGTATTCAATCATCATAGCAGGGTGCACCTGTGTCCCGCACAGGCATCCAAGCTTCAGTAAAATTGCCATGATGAACAGAGAAATTATTTCATGCTTAGTCGTTTACACGCTCTAAACTCCAAAAGTTTGGGGCAAGGAAATGGGAAGAGGATGGTGGAGAGCAAACTGTGCAGAGTGGGTGTGTGCACTCCTGACGAGTCCTCCCTCCCCTCCCCGCAGTAATCCCGAGTACAAGGACACCCCGATGGACATCGCACAGCTCCCCCACCTGCCGGAGAAGACTTCGGAGTCCTCGGAGACGTCGGACTCTGAGTCAGACTCTAAAGACACCTCAGGTATTACAGGTATTACTCCTTCTCCGTGTTCTGCAGTTATGGCGTGCCTTTCCGGGCGTGCGGGATGGGTCACGGCAGAGGGCCATCGGCAGAGCACGGCAACTGGCCGATTTTACGACATTTGCTGAGCCTCTCTTTCTACACAGATGTGTATATAAACACTGTACTTATACCACCACATACATTATACACACATATGTGTATACACACAATACTTAACATTTCTATGTGATAGTGTATAAATATATACATTATGTGTGTAAATATATACTTATGTGTATGTTGTGATATATTTACATACATGTAGATATACCGTACTGTATAAATATATGCACACAAATATACTTCATGTCAGCCCTCCACTGGCCATACAGAAGGGGCCCTGCCCTAACCCCATAGTGAGGGCTGGCCTCTTTACCAGAAGCAGATAGCAGAGATGTCTCTGGTGCTCAAAGACAGACTCTGACTATGTACCCAAATATCCACATCCTCACCAGGCTGGAAGGAAGCCTCTAAAGTGGGATACTTAATGCCCTTGGCAATGACTCAGGTGCCGGGCTGTTACTCATTTCCTACATCTCTGCAGAGCAAACCCATGCTTTCCCATTTCTGGTTACAGTATTTTCCGGTGTATAAGACGACCCCCTAATTTTTACAGTTAAAACATAGGTTTAGGCCTATATTCACTGTATAAGACTACCCCCCACTTCTGAGGCAACACCAGTTTGTTTGTTTGTTTGTTTTTTTAATAGACCGCCTCTCTGATTCTGGCCAATCTGAGCAGGCTTTTTACTAGAACACAGTGTAACTTCGGGTACAGAACATGCCTCGGAAGTGGGGGGTAGTCTTATACAGCGAATATAAGCCTAAACCTATGTTTTAACTGTAAAATTAGGGGGTCGTCATATAAGCCAGAAAATACGGTATTTGAGAAGTAGGCTTTCTGAGCTCTTTGGAGCACAGGAAAATTAATGTTAAAAAATGTACCTTTCCCCCAATCTTTAGGCCCCTGCACAGACATAGAGAGCCAGGGAACACGGAACTCACAGGAGTTCAGAGCTGCCCAAAGCCCTGAGCCTCTTCTAACCCAATCTCTTTGGCCACAGGAAGGCCTGGGTAGTTCCATGCTTTGATCAAGGTTCTAGTCCAGGCTGCCACCCAAAAGCATCACAGCAGAGCCATAAAACCAGCATCATCCCTAACTCTTCTGAGGTTGTGGTCCTGAGAAAATCTATTCTCCCTAAAAAGTGTTGGACAGCTAGGGTTCCTGGACACTCCCCAGCCTTAGGGCACCTGCTCTCCGGGTTTGTAAACAATATCCCTCTATTCCAGACACAGCCTCAGGGAAGCCCAGGTGGTGAGGGTCACTCCCAGAGGATCTGATTGTTTTCCTGGCTCCTAAACTGCATTCATCAGAAAGTTCTGTCCTGGTGCAGAAGTTCTAGAATAGACAGACTCTGCTTCTCATTTACACAGGGGGCCAAAAAGGCAAACATTCCTTGCCCCATGGAGCATATATGCCAGTTGGGAGAGACAGAAGTTAATAAAAATAAATAAAACATACGGTGAATCAGATGGTGGTGAGTAGTGCAGAGAAAAGTATCTTTATGAAAAGAACATGGTTTTCCACGAACAGGTAGTCACCCGTGGAAGGTGCCAGACCTCTTTAGAAAACCACCTTGCACAGCACCATTTTTCTGTGCGGCTCACACCCTATTCTAAGATGTGTACTCTGACTCCCTCGGGTAGTTCTGCAGGCCCTCTCAGTCGTTAATGCACCTGTTCATCTCCACAGGATCTTATTCAAATACAAAATCTGACCGATGGGGAAGCTGGGACGCTGCCTTTGCAGCAAGTGTCCAGTCCTGCCAGTGCTGCTGGGCCAGGGACCACACTTTGCGGAAAGGTCCAGCTAACCTGGGCCCTCGAGAGAGAAAGCAGGGCATCAAGGTGGTGTGGAGAAGCTTAGGGACGCAACACAGCTCCCCCGCGCACACCCCCTCCCCACACACACACACACACACCCAAAAAGTGGGGGATGAGCCTCGCCCTTGCTAACCTGGTGTCTCCTTTGCCTCCTCTTCCCCTCCCGCCACGCCCGGGCCACCGCGGGCCCCACACAGAGGACAACGAGAACTCCAAGTCCGACGAGAAGGGGAACCAGTCCGAGAACAGCGAGGACCCGGAGCCCGACCGGAAGAAGTCGGGCAGCACGTGCGACCAGGACATGAACTGCCACGACCAAGGCCACAGCTCCAGCAACCCCGACAGCCGCGACAGCGACGACGACAGCTTCGAGCACTCGGACTTCGAGAACCCCAAGGCCGGGGAGGAAGGCTTCCGCGCGCTGGGGCCCATGCAGATCAAGGTGGAGCGCTACGTGGAGAGCGAGCCGGACCCGCGGCTGCAGGACTGCGAGCCGCTCACGTCGGACAGCGCCAGCGCCAAGGACTCGGACAGCGCGGGCGAGGCGGGCGCGCAGGCGGCGGGCAGGCTCCAGCGGCGCAGGAAGCGGCGGAAGCGGCAGAAGGGCGGCAGCGCCAGCCGCCGGCGCCTGTCCAGCGCGTCCAGCCCGGGCCTGGAGGGGGGCCTGGTGGAGCCCCCGCGGCTGCTGGCCTCCCCCAACAGCGCCGCCTCGTCGGTGCTCAAGATCAAGACGGAGATCGCCGAGCCCATCAACTTCGACAACGACAGCAGCATCTGGAACTACCCGCCCAACAGGGAGATCTCCAGGAACGAGTCCCCCTACAGCATGACCAAGCCCCCCAACTCCAACCCCGAGCACTTCCCGTCCCCGCAGGGTCAGGGCGGCGGCGGCGGGGCCGGGGGTGGCAGCGGGGGCGGTGGGGGCCTGCACGTGGCCATCCCCGACTCGGTCCTCACCCCGCCCGGCGGCGCAGACAGCGCGGCCCCGCGCAAGACTCAGTTCGGCGCCTCGGCCACCTCGGCCCTGGCCCCCGTCACCTCCGACCCCCTGTCGCCCCCGCTGTCAGCATCCCCGCGGGACAAGCACCCGGGGGGTGGCGGCGGCGGTGGAGGCGGCAGTGGCGGCGGCACTGGGGGTGGCCCCAGCGCGCCCAACTCCTTGCTGTACCCCGGGGACCTGGAGGCGCTGCAGAGGCTGCAGGCGGGCAACGTGGTGCTGCCGCTGGTGCACAGGGTGACCGGGACGCTGGCGGCCACCGGCACTGCGGCGGCGCAGCGGGTCTACACCACGGGCACCATCCGCTACGCGCCCGCCGAGGTGACCCTGGCCATGCAGGGCAACCTGCTGCCCAACGCGCACGCCGTCAACTTCGTGGACGTCAACAGCCCGGGCTTCGGCCTCGACCCCAAGACGCCAATGGAGATGCTCTACCACCACGTGCACCGGCTCAACATGTCGGGACCGTTCGGCGGCGCGGTGAGCGCGGCGGCCAGCCTGACGCAGATGCCGGGGGGCAACGTGTTCACCACGGCCGAGGGGCTCTTCTCCACGCTGCCCTTCCCCGTCTACAGCAACGGCATCGCCGCCGCACAGGCGCTGGAGCGCAAGGACGACTGAGGCGCCCGCCCCCCGCAGGGCGGTCCAAGGGGAGGCATCGTGGGCGTTTTTCCGTTTCCACCTTTATTCTAGCACTTTGAATTTGGGCAGGTCAGCATCTTCTCTCCACCACACGACGGTCCCCATCCCATCCCCTCACCCCCTTTCTTTAACTTGACCTATGCTTTCCTGTAAAGATATGTTTATGTTTGGCCTTCCGGGGCCAGAGGACCAGTGACCTGCCGTTTTGTCTTCTTCTTCTTCTAAGATGTGTGTTGGGTTGTTTTGCTTTCCTTTTGCATCTTTATTAAGATGTCTTTAATGCGTATATGCCTCTGCCATAGAATACTCAGTCTTGTGGTCAAGAGATTTCTCAAGTGACAACCATTTTTCTTCCTAACGATCTTGATGTGATCAAGATTGCAAGAGACAAGCATAAACAATGTGCCCTGTTTGACTAAGTCAAATGAAATGGGGTGGCTCTTTTTTGGTTTTTGTTCCTAATTCCTTTAAAAAAAAAATAGGGAGATAGTATTTTAGAATTTTATGCAGAATTTAATTCTCTTTTTATGGTTAAGATTTTAAGATTTTTCTTACTTGCACATAAAAGTAATTTGGGTTCTTAAAACTTAATTTCTGGCCTGTGACTAGAATGTTTAAAACAAACCAACAACAGTGGGACTAAATGTTAATTACTGAAACATTAACTTAATTTCTAAAACCATGGTGCTATCATTTATTAATCTGTAATGTCTTCATACAAAATGCAGCTCCTGGCTGGGTTTTGGGGGGGGAAGAAAACGTGTGTCCTGTCCTGGTCTGGAGTCCATTGCTACAGTCGCCCTGGTGAGTTAAGACAAAGCCCTCATTAACGTTTGCTGCGGAACTTAAATGTGTTGCCTCCCAACTCACAAGCGTAGCCTCACATTCAATGTAATGGGTCCGTAAAGCCCTTTTCGAAGGGGCTTATGGGAAACTCAATCAAACCGATTGAGGAGCAGGTTAGGTACATACTGCCTTTCGTTAAGCCCCCCCCCCCCCTTCTCAGTCTAACTGAGGCTAATTTTTGCAACGTCAATAACACTTCAGAGTAAAAGAGGAGAAATATTTAACATCTTTTAATTCTTTTTTTTTTTTCATTTCTTGCTAAAAAAAAAAAAAGTTTGTATTTTGGGGGGACTGATTTGATTTGATGGAATTTCTTTTCCCTTTGATTCTCTTATTTCTAGGTTGGAACCAATACAGCTTAAAAATAAAGAATGGGTTAATAAACTTCAAACAGATAACTCAACTGAAAACTGCACATTAAGTACAAAAAAAAAAAAAAAGAAAAAGAAAAAGAAAAAAATATCCTATTTTGTCTTTGTTGCCAGAAATCAGTGTAGTGTCAAACACTCCAAATGACTGTCAAGTATAAATTCTTCTTCCACTCCATTTTGGCAGCTGTTTGTTAAGGCATCCAATAACAGATGTGAGAACTGTAATGTCTGCAATGTGTACATGTCCTTGGCTGTCGTCCATTGCGGTTTCAATGTGTTTCTATATGCAGTATATACTGAGCTAATGTAGTTGTTTTGTCCTTTGTCTTCTCTGTGCTCTCTCTCTAGTCGGGGTAGTCCCGTCCCATTCCTGCAGTCCTAGTGAATCAGTGATTCTTGGGGGTTAGTGATTTTTGTGCAGTGGCCTTCCTCTGTAATGTCACCCCTATGCTGCTTCTACTGTCTGTGAACCTTCCGTTTCACTTTATAAAATTCCTGCTGTTGCTTATTCTGGTGTGTGAAATTCTCCCAACCTCTCCTTTCTTTCCCTCTCCCTATCCTCTCCCCTTTCCCTTCCTCGTCTTTCCTTCCCCGTTCTCCAAAACCTTTTTCATTCTCAGAGATAAAAAGACTCTTAACTAGCTCAAGGTTAATGGAGCCATTTTTCCCACATGGAATTCTGGTATGACTCTTTCTTCCAGAGTGAAGAGTAATGCTCAGATATATTCAATAAATTGATGCCATATAGCCTCAGTTGTTAACATTCCCAGAGTCCCTTGTGCTCTACCTATAAGCAGTGGGTGCTTTTCTTTGGTTTCCTTCCAGGTTGGCTGATGGAGCAATATAATAAAGCAATTACCAGTGAGACAGAAAATTAGTTCAAAGGTCAACCAACGTTTTTTAAAAACAGGAGGGGAAGGTATAATGGAATATAGAATTGTCATATATATATATATATGTTTATGCGTGCAATGCTACTATAGTAACTCAGCTGTCCTTTAAATATCACTGTGTTGAGTGAATTCCTCTAGGATCTTTAATTCCATGAGCTGGGCCCAAACCACTGTGGAATAAGTCATCATTTAATAATGAGCTTAATTCAAGGATTTAATAGGTTTGGAAGGTGAAGAAAGTTAATCACGAAATTTAAACATTAATTTTGGAAGCTCTATTCTAGCTATCGAACAATCAAAGGAATGCACCTATCAGCTACAAAGAACAGCTAAATAGCTGTTTGTTTTTCTTTTATAAATGTTTCTGTGTTGTGTCAAAATGATTTCTGGTGATTTAAACTAACAGATAATCACAGCTGCTGTCTAAATCCATAGTGTTAAAATTACAAAACGAAAAAAAAAAAAAAACTTCATTACCTGTGAAGACTGTGTCTGTTTGTGTTTTTAACTATTGTACAAATATATGAAAACTTTTATGAGGAGACTGGTGCCAAGTAGCTGAATAATGGGGAAAGGGATATTCTGTTTGTAAAAATCTTAGCAGTGTTACCAACTCTACCACACACATATATATATAAATTAAAACATTACAAAGTGACAGCTATGATACATTTGTTTTGTGTGAAGCTAACCGGACCTAACTTCCTGAGTGCCTGGCTTATTTTGAAACATTTTTTTCATTGACCATTGATAATGCTGCAAATCAGAAATGTACATACTTCATTTACAACAGGGTTCTTTTTATACTTTTGTAGATTCTCATACATGTCACATACATGGTTGTCTTTATGTAACTTAATTTTTTCATCCACAGGTGCCATTTTCATAATAAATTTCTCTTGGATTTGTTACTATCTGGCATCATTTCTTTTACATGTAACCATCCTAATTAATGACTGCTGGTAGTATTTGTTTAAGCAGGTACCTTGGTCATAATTCTCAATTAAAAGAAAAAAATGTTTAATGCATTCATATTTTTGCTAGTTTTGAAAAAAAATGTATAGCTTGTGTACTGATGAGGCTGACAAGGCACAGATTAAGATGCTAATCCAAATACTACACAAACTTGCAACCATCCTAAATTTTCAGCTACCCCAACTCATTGTCATACTAAGCATTACTATGCACGCTGCCCAAGCCAAGCGATGGGCCTGCAACCTTAACCACTATTGGAAGTGTGCATTCTTTTATTAATGCACAGTAAGTGATGACAGTTTTCATACATTAATCATTTAAAATGCACTCAATATTTTCATTTATTACAAGCTATAATGTTTAACCAACTATTCCATTGCTTATATCTTCTCTTAATACTAATTTTGCATTCTCTTTCTCCAGACAAGCTGAGTTAAGTCATGTTTGTGCTGTGGAATTGGTCAGGTCAGCCTGCAGCCTGTCACGTTTTAAGGCAGGTCAGCAAGCTAACTCAAAAAGAAGAAAGAAATAAATCTTCAGTGCTATCTCAGAGTTAAGGATATAGGTGGGTCACCTGTTCAGAAAATGAAGAGATATAAATATGTTAAACTGAAAAAAAAGGCAAACAGTTTTTTCCAAAAGCTACCAACTCTAGTAAATCTTATTCTCTAATTTAAGTCTTCAGTGACACCAATTTGAGGGTACTTTTTTAATTAATGGGGGGTTGCTTCAGACTGTGGATATTAAAATGTATTTATGATGTGGGGCCCTATATTTCCCTTCATGGGCCATTCAAATAAGCACATAAAATTAGACATAGGAAGAGGATGATTGAAACATAGAATTGGATTCTCCCAACTATTTTTCCAAAATGTATCATTCCCTTTTGCTCTTGAGAAGAATATAGTATAGCTAGATTTTTAAGTAAAAAAAAAAAAAAAAAATTGATAGAACTAGAATCTCAATCCTGAGGGCAGCCAGATTACTCACGGCGTAGTCTAGGTCTATAAGCATTGATGGAGGTGGCTCTTAGTGAGGGTGTCCAGAGCTTTGCATAGCGGAGGCTCCATGGAGGCAGAAAGGCAGTTGGGATTAAGGCAGTTGGGTGTGGGATTAGGCTGACCCCTGTTGGCTGAATGACAATGTGCGCTAGCCATAATCCTTTACCTCAGCCCTGTGATCTGAATGTGGTGGCAGAGGAGCTTGAGAAGGAAAAGTCAGACATGAATTGAAATCCTCCCAGTATTTGGAGCCTGTGGTAGAGATTCTGGATTCTTACTCAACTGCAAGTCTCCTTTAGCATCAACAAGTTCCCTGTCCTTCATATGTTCCCGTCTATGCTAAAACATGTCACCAATGGGATGAAGAACATCTTTCTGTCAGACCCACGATGATCATGAGGTTTGGGCCACTACTGCAGCCCGAGGCCTCACAGTCAGGCCAGGGCCCTGGGCTCCCCAGAGACCCAGCACCTCTTCTTGCCAGGCTGGCAGCAAGTCAGTTTGCAAGGCTCCAGTTTGTAGGTGATGGATAGGAAGGGGTCACTGGCCAGCTCTTTGCACCCTGTTTCCTTCCAGCCAATGCCTATACTTGTTTATTTGGCAGAGGAACCTGATAACAGATAAGGCAGTAAGCAGGACAAGAGGGAAGATATGCACTCAGTGGGGCAAAAGGAAAGTGGTTTCAGTCCTTGTGGACTATAATCTTACCCACCTTTGCCTACTCTTACATGAAGCCTATTGAAAACAGTTTTCAATCGGGCCCTCTCCGCATTACATTAAAGGTAAGAGATAATGTATATGATCAAGCCCAGAAGATAATCTGTTCAAGCCAAGGATATTATTATCCAGGTTCAAAAAGTAGATCTAGGAACTTGGGAGAAAAGGAAGACTGACTGTCTTTGCCAATACTTCATATCATGTAGTGCAAAAAAAAGAGGAATTTTTCTCAAGCGTTGTTCCCAAAGAAGGATGGACAACTGGCAGACTTAGAAAACAATTCTGGGATGCTCAGGTAAGTAAACACACCAGCTGTCCTGCTTTCCTGAATCTCCTAGGAACCATTATAAAGAAGGGGGGCTGACCTGGCAAACTCCCTGCAGGCACAAATCATGGCTTGTTCATCTTCGCGTCCTCCCATAATGCCCAACTCAGTGATTTACAAATAGCTTTGGCTCCGAAGAGATCTGCCAGATACTGATGGATGAGGACATGTGGAAAATGAAAATGAAACATGACTTGTCAAGGAGCGAAGATTCCACTAGAAATGTTCATGGGGTTTGGCAGGATAGCTTGACTTGTATCCAGAAAGGGATGGCAAAATGGATGAAGCTGCAAGTTCATTCATTCCTGCCTTTTCAGGTAGTCCCATGGCCAACAGAGAGTTGGCTGACCATCGATAGGTATTGGTTGAAGGATGTCTGTGTGCATCCACAATACTGTATGCAGCAATAAATTAGATAACACAAAGAGAGAAAGGAGGAAGAGGAGAGCCCATGCACTTGATAACTGAGTTAGGAAACTTTGACGTCTTGGCCCATGGACAGCTAAGCAAATGAATCTTAGACTCACAGGAAGGTGCCTTTATTAGAATAGTGTATCCTCGCAGAATAGCACTGAGATAAATAAACTTAGTTGTCATGTAGAGAATGTCAGCAACTGAGAGGGACCCTCTCATGTAAAGATCACATCTCCTTAATTCTAGCAGTGAAGGTCTTTCTAGCCCACTACTGGATAGTTATAATTTTTAGAGGGTTTTAAGTCAAAATCGTACCTCAAGAGTTAAACGGACTAAGTCTAAATTATCTTCCATCTGAGTGGCCTTCAAATATGTGAAAGTGAATATTAGAGTTTCACTACTTCTCTAGGCTAATTATCATCTATTCTTTCAGTTGTTCCTCTAAATGGCAGGGTGGCAGATCCCCTCGCCATCCTCCTCTAGGTGCACCAGGATTTGTCAAGGCCCCTGTACTGATTTCCCAGGGTGGCCTTGTTATCACAAACTGGGTGGCTTGGCATGTATTCTCTCACAGTTCTGGAGACTAGAAGTGTGAATTAAAGATTCTGGAAGGCTCTGGGCAGCGGGGGGGTTCAAGAGGGGGGTGAGTCTGCTCCATGCTTCTCTCCTGCCTTCTAATGGCTACCAGCCATGCTTGGCATTCCTTCACTTATAAATACATCACTCTGATCTCTGCCTCCATCATCACATGACCATCTCTCTCTCTGTGTGTATTTGTGCTCACATAGAGTTCTCCCCACTGCCTGTGTCTTTCTCATCTTCTAAGAACCCTACACTAATTATATTGGTTTAAGGGCCCTCCCTACTCCAGTATAACCTCAACTAAATACATCTAAAGGACCCTACCATGAAAAGAAAATGAAGTTAGGTTCACAGGCTGAAGTATGGAGGGTTAGGACTTCCTTTTTGGAGGTCACAATTCAACCTATAACAGCCCCAATTAAAAGGTGGCGCCTTAGATCAATTACAACTCCAGATGATACCTGGTGTCTGCATGGGATAAGGTCTCATTACATATCTTGCTCAAGACTCTCAACTCAATTAAAATAGCCTGAATCCACAGTCACTTCCTGGCAGTCAGATCAAACTATTATCTCATCTTGAGCCTCTAATCAGCCAGAACACCCTGGTCTTTTCACAAACTTCTTAAATTAGGTGTCTCACCTCCCATGGCCCTCACGCAATGCTGGCATGTGCTTAGGTGAGAAGTGATTCCGGGGGGAAAACACTGGTTCACTAGACAAGGAAAGTGAGCAAGAACCTATCGCTGTGAACACACACTTCTCACTTTCATTGTACTCGGCATGCCCCCTGAGACTACTTCACCCAGCCGCACTAGAGAGGACAGACCTGACCCTGGTATTTATGGAGCCCTGGGGTACAGGTACATCCATACAGACATTCCCAGCAGGCTACTCCTCCATAAGTAAACTGAGGCAGGGGGGAAGCAACCATGAGGAGGAAATTGAAAAACTAGAGGGAGAAATGACCATATAAGTCATTTCACATGAGCAGAACTGAGGTAAGAGGTGCCAGGACACCTGTTACATATGGTATAAAATCATTCAAAGTTCAAGGAAGAATCATGAGGCAAAACACATCAACTTTGTGCAATTGAGTAGGCCTCCATGTGTCCCCTGTATGGATAAAAATCAAAGAGAGATTCGTGTAAGATTGTCTTGTACTTTTCTGGGGACAAAACACAGTTGTTTTTTCATTCTACTGTTCGTCATTCTCTATTTGGCAGCCATGAGCTACGCTAACAGGAATGACCAGATAATGTTCCTATATTGAAAGAATTCTCCTAGGAAAATAAAATTAATTTCAGTTTTAAAAATATATATGTAAACTGTTTAATGTGGGAAAATGGAGCAGAGGGTAAGGAGGTGGCTCTTGCTTGTACTGAAGAACTTCTCAAATTTATAGCTGAAGTGTCAGAAACAGGATGTAATAACCGTGTGACCCCCCCCACCTCCCCCAAACAAAACCATTATACCCTTGATGAATTATTGACTTTAGAGTTTTATCTATGCCATGAATAATAACAAACTTGGGAGTCTCAGGGCACAGTTCATAAACAAATAATTATATCACAATGATAATTTTTCAGGAATTACAACATCAATCATGGCCATGTTATTATCAAGTACATTTTCTGGTTGCCTCTATTCATCAAACCCTCCTCCTTCTCCACCCTTTCACACCACACAAGCAACACTCATCACCAGATTGCCTCTTATTTACACATCACTCAAAGCAGGACAGATCAGGCACACACAAAATGGGCCAACCCAGCATTTATGAGGGATGAGTTTTCATTAAGAAAGTTCAAATTAAATGCGTTGAGAAAGATGGAGGGGGGAGAGAGAATTAATTATTCCAGACTTCCCCAAAGAAGCTTCTCTGAAAGGATTGTATTC